TTGCTGCGCGTTTGCGCAGTGTGAAGGAAAGAGGAGACCAGCTGCACAGGCAACAAGAGCCAATGATCGCCGATCACCGATCATGCACTTTTTCACGAAAATCGGCCCGATTATGATCGGTGACCGATCGATCGGCACACCTCTAGCAGGAGAACAGAGCTGCGCCAAAAGCTACAAATACTGAATAGAAGAAGAAGAGCTGCCATCGATACAGTTGCAGCCAGGCATGATTTAATGTTACACAATACAGTTTTAGGAAGTTACTCAAAGTCTAACTGGTATTATTGTGATTGTAAGGTGTAAAGTTTACCTTCGACCAAATGCCCCCCAAAGAAATCCCAGCGACCCCCTTTTGTAAAAATTTCCGCCAGCTTCCCGTCTTGTCCCCTTTCCTTTGCCCAGCACCACCTGTTTTTAATTCCTTTCTCAAGTAAACGTGTTTCTTTACCGGGTGAGACAAACTCCATCTTCTTTCATATCGCATTTGATTTAACCGAACGCATGCACTTATTTCTACAAAACGTTTTACAGTCATTGGTCAAGAACACGGGAGCTAGAATTCTGATTGGAGACATCTTTGTCTATTATCTACAGTTTAGTTGAGGCGGGCCGTTTGGTCCAATGCTCGCTTTGCTTGGAAGTCTGGCCCCCAGACGGAGCTCTTTACGCCTAAGTTTCAAACGTCTGACTAAATAAATCTTCCTTATTTTAATTGTAAGTAGTTCTTTAAATGTCCTGTGAGATGATATACTTACCCATGTATCCATAATAGCCGGAACTCTCAATATCCAGCAAGTTATTTTCGCAATTTACCGTCTATTAAACGAGTGCCCCCCGGAATAATTGCACTGGCCGTTTCTCAATATGCGTTCTTGTCTGTACTTGTGTTCTCGCGTCCTCGTGAAACGTCATCGACAGCGGCCCAAGTACTGTTCCAATTCAAAGTACACATCCAGGCAAGAACGCTCAAAGTACCCGGATGTGTTCTTGCTCCGCCCATTTTATCAAGGATGCATCAATGCATCCTTCTGCGGACTTGAGGCAGCAAGATATCCCACAATGCAATGCGCCACCAGCAGCGGTAAATAGCGAAGGTCAGTACAGAAATGTATTGCATTTTTACCACCATTAATTGCCACGAAAACTCATTTAAATTTGTTTTTAGGCGAGAAAGTAGACCTTATAGCTTCATCTATCCACTCAGTTCATCCAGAATATTCATACTTTAATATTTGCTCCGGAGTTTTTCGGAGTAGCATAGCTCTGCTAACAGACCGGAGGAGCTGCCAGTTTAACGGGGGGTTGGAACGTGTTTTCCCTGCTAACCGCAGCCTGATTTCAGCAAGTCACTGTCGTTTTCCGCTGCTTGTTATCTGTTCGTAGCGGCTGAAAGTGAGTAGCTGCAAGTAGCAGAATAGGAAATATATTTTCTCTTAGCTTATTTTTTAAAAATATTTATTTAGTTACTATTGGTATTTTATAAATTGTTGATACAGACTTTCAAAACCAATTACTTTCATTCGCTAATTAACTGTTTTTGGGCATTTAAATTCGTAGTAAGAAAAATATTTTAATACAATGTCCCTTCATGATCAGAGAATCATACTTTAATTTGTAAATTAAAAATAACATTTCCCTAGGATTATCATTTCATGTATGAGAGTGAACTCTTATTTTTCATTGTTTTATGCAGGCAGCTCTTCAGGTGAGCAGACTGCAGCTCCAGGTTTACTTCCAGCTTCCCAAAAACTCCTGGAGATTCTCTTCATCCCCGTGTCCTGCCAATGTTCTCTTCACTGTCTCCTCATCTTAGAAAAAACACCATTAAATTATGGTAATATTTGCTTTTGACAGTCTCAGTATGAATTTCCTGGAGTTATTGACTGATTATCTGCTTGTTTTTGTTTATT